TCTAAATTAACCAGCTAAGGTTGATGTGGATTCCTTTCTAAATGAGCTTAAATTTATTTATTTTATTTCTTTAACTAATATTAGAGAGTCCGGTTTGAAGTGACATCAGTATCACCGTGATTAACTTTCAATTTTAAGTAGATTAATTGACAGCTATCAGTCAAAAGACCTGCTGTACGATACAGTTTGCTGAGGACCCAGAGAAAGAAAAGAAACGTTAAGTTACCTTATAAGGATAGTCGCTGTACCCATGTCCTTCTTTAGATCCATAATCCCACGGGTGAGTGTATCTATCAGCGTCGTTCAGTTCACAGAGCAAGTCTTCAAACCGGAAATTGATGCTCTTACATCGCATGTCAGCGGTACATTCGACCAAACAGTCTCCTAAACTATCTGTACTTCTGTTTGATATGACGTGACCAGTCAGGTAACTTCCTTTTATGGAGCGTACAGGTTTGCTGCACTGTTGACACGAGCTTGTTGTGATCGATATGACGAGCAAACATGTGAAACCCGCCATCGCATTTTGCCTCATATTAACTGAACCTGGAAAAATAGCAAAACAAAGTCAATGTTATTTTGGCTACTGAAGACCATTACTCTCTTCGCTTATTGTCAATACTATTAGCTGAAACATTTATTTAAAGTTCGTGAAAAAAACTTAAAAATCGTTAGATGACCTCGAGAGGCGCTAAAAACTGTTTTGGAGCCAGAGTTTAAAATGGATAGCTAAAGGCGGTTCAGTATGATACTACAATCGACTCCCAATAACTCGAACCTTCAAGGGAAATTGAAAAAGGTTCGAGTTATCGGAAGTGCGAGTTATCGGGAGTTGAGATCAAATGACCGAAAATTAGGAAAAAACGGTGTTCAATGTTTTTTTTTCATGCAATGTATAATAGTTATTGAACTGAGGGGATTGCAATTAATTTGCATAGCAAATGATTTCGAGTGCAATTTGGAATAAATAAGCACAAGTAAATTTTTCTAAGACTGCAGAAAATTGCAGGAGCCCGTAGAGCGAGTGCAATTTGTAGTCGTAATTTTTGCCGAGCTATGTATTTTGCTTTGCTATGAAGTCTTAGGTAAAGAGTTTAAATCTTCGTCTCATTTTGTTTGTCCTAGCTCAATTTTGTCGGAGCTGTCAATCATTTTTAATTTCACCGTCACTGATCACTGATTTGTGATTAATTGACATGTTCTCAGCCAATCAGACTGCAGAAATTGTTGCTTGTATATTATTAGGTCTGAAATCATACGCGTGATTTCAAAATTGAACGAGCGCGCAGCGCGAGTTTGATTTGTCACTTTATTAGATCCATTTTGAAATCGCACAATTTTACCGCTTTAAATCCGGTTTGTTGAAAATAGCGGAACCGGAAACGTCATTACGTCTCATTTAGTATGCAAAACGATGTCATGTGACGAAAGCTCATTCAAGTATAACAAAGAAATAACAGTTCTGACGTCAGAACGAAAACAGTCTATTTCATACATAAAGTTCAATTCTCGTCGCCTGAATCAATGACGGAAGGCCTTCCTTTTTTCTGTGGTTGAGGCTGAGACCTTACGTTGTCTTTGGAGAAGGAATTTCAAGGTGTATCCTGTGTAATTCTGCGATGGATTTCCGGAGTTATGAAACTCCCTGGAGTGCACGATGCCCAGTGGATATTTTTTTTTCTTTTAAATACCGTTCAGTGGCACTCAGCATGATTTTAAGGGATTCCTGCTCGGCGTAGAACTTAATACTCAGTACCTTGTCAAGTTCTTTCGGCGCCATTTGTTCCAGGAGATTTCAAAATGGCGGGACTGGCACCAGCTTCGGAAGACGTTCGTTCATTCACTGTTTTGTGGAGCGGGGCGTATTTTGACTTTGTTTATTCACAGCGATAGAGTTGAATTCTTGTGTTGCTTCCATTTGAAACTACCGAAACCTGGAAACATCTACCTTCTTGAGATGGTTCTGAATTTGTTGTCGTGTGGTTTCGTTTGTTTATGTTTTGCTGGACTCGGTATCATGCGGATCTTGAGCAGATGTTGAAGAAAAATCACCAAAATATTTGTCAAAATG